CGTTAACAGTGGTTCCTATTCTCGTGTAAATATGAAAGATATCTCAACAAGGGATTACAAAAGAAATCACAAAGGTGAGACCAAGTTTGGCAAATGTTTATCATGTGGAAAAATTCATTCTCGTAATTCATGTGCATTTCGTAATGCTAAATGTTTTAGATGTGGTAAGATAGGACACATTCAATCAGTATGCAAAGCTACTATTCATTTTGCCTCAAGTAGTACTAAATCTTGTAATTTAGATCCCAGTGATTCAGCTGTTCCTAATGATCATTTATCTTTGTCTACTGTTTCGAAAGGTAATGCTCATATTCAAAAGCGATTATATACATCGCTTGGTTCATGTCATGACTTTATTGTTGACACAGACAGCATAGAGTCCATTATTTCATTCAAGAACTTGAAATCTTTAGATCCTAATGTTGTGGTACGACCCACTGAGGTATCAATATTGGGGATTACTGGACACAGACTGCCTATACGAGGATGTTGTGAGTTGCTAATAAGAGATGATAATTCTTCGTACATACCTTGTGAATTTTTAGTTAGCGAAACAGGACTGTCAATATTGGGCTTAAGGAATTTGAAAAGGCTTAAAGTGGAGCTGTCTTTCCTAGTTTCTAAAGAAAACAATGATGCTTTACTTAAAGATTTGATAGCCATGTGTGCTAGGTGCAGTGGAGGTATGAAGATTCAGCCTATAAAACTTCAAGTACAGGGTGAACCAGTATTTCTTAAAAGACGAATAATTCCTTATGGTCTTCGAGAGGCAGTACATAAAACATTAAACGATTTGTGTGCGAAAGGCATAATTGAACCGATCCAGTCCTCAGCATGGGGTACTCCTATTGTTACGCCACTGAAGTCGGATGGCAAAACCCCTAGAATATGTGGTGATTATAGATTAACACTGAATTCCCGTTTGTTGAAGCAAACGTGCACGACGGTAGAGGCTGAAGATATTCTAAATCGACTTCATGGTTCTAAAGTGTTCTCGAAAGTTGATCTAAAAGATGCTTATCTCCAAATCCCTTTAGATCAATCTTCATCTCTTTTGACGACAATTAATACTCCTTTTGGTCTGTTCAAATACAATTTCCTTCCATTTGGTCTAAGTTGTTCTCCAGCTATATTTCAGGAAGTCATGAATAATGTAGTTAGTGATCTTGAGGGCGTTGAAGTTTATCAAGATGATCTCATTGTCCATGGTTCTGATAAGGTAGTTCATGACCAGAGACTTATTGCCTTATTGCGTCGTTTAATTGAGAAGAATATTACAGTGAATCCAAATAAGTGTTCATTTAGTGTATCTAATTTCGAATGTCTTGGATACCTAGTTGATGGTAATGGTTTTAGACCAGATATGAAACGACTAGCTCCACTGACAAATGCACCGTCTCCAAAAAACCTTACGGAAC